GTACCATAATCGTTTAACACGTTTCACGCACACGTTCATCAAAACAGTGAAGATTAAAAAACAGTACTTACTTAACCTGCCTATCGATTTTCGAAAACGGAAACATGTGATTAGTTTGAGTTTAGTATAAAACGTGAGATGTTCCAATAACCTAGATAGGATCCCAGGGAAAATGGGCCTTTATTATACCATGTTCTACTCATTTGCCATTGACGTAAAGTATAAATAAATAATAATATAATATAATTGCCATCATCGGGGCGTCACAAGATATAACGGGTACTATAACCCCTTGGGACCCACCTGAGACTAATGGAAAATATGACTTATTAGTGACACTGTTCAAGCGTTCAATTCAGCAAAGCGACATCAAAACTATCAGCACTTGATTAATACATTATCGCTATCAATACATCCCAAGGCACAATTAATTTGATGAAATATATTTTGACAGTCGATTTTTAATATAAATTGCCCTTACCAAAATTGAATTGCGTGTTGTTTTAGTTAACGCGTTGCGAGTTTGTGAAAAATATAACAAAGTATGATGGATCGTTTTTTAAAAATATTAGTGTGTAGAGGTATATTTGTGATGTTTGAGAAGCATTGGCACCATGCAAAATATGTCGAAGAATCCCTATAGGTATACAAAACGGGATATATCAGTAAATACTCATAAGGAAAAGAAATTACTGCTGGTGTGATACCGCGGAAATAATATTTTTCTCAAGCAAAGACAGGAGTTGTCACACCAAAAACTGAACATATTTCTGCGAATGTTGAATGCAACTGGTGATCCATCAAGGTATTTTCATATGACCGAAAGAATACGCTGACCGTAACAGTTTGATATAGGTATGAATTACACTAGACGAACTACTTGTCTTAATCTATTTCATTTGGTAAGCCTTGCTATCAATAAATGCAATAAATGTGAATTAAATAAGGAAGTCATAAAGGTGGCTGTTTCTGTTATGAATAGTATTTGTACCATTTAAATTTGGTTTTTCGAGTTTTAGCCTCTGTCCTTTCGTAGATAGCAAAAAGAGCTAACATCTAATCTTGACTAGAAACTCTAGAAAAATGAAATCCTCAATACATGTGGAACGATATGAACACATTGATATCAGTTGAGGGATGACTTTTTCTCCAACGATTCGAAATCCAATTAATAATTTGATATTTATCATCAAATCATGATCAGGAAAAGCTACATTTTGTTTTCCTTTGAAACTCCTTCATAGCATAGATGCCCACTTCATTTCCAAGGAGGCACTGCGACAATTAAGATGTTGGGAAGTTCCGTATACGTGAGATCTGAATAAAAGAAGAATAAACTGGTCGAAATGTCAACATCCTTCTGACAGGTTTAAAGAACACAACATGCAGGATTTAAACATTTCGTGTAATGCAATATCTGTGTTCGCATCCTACTTCAGGCGACAACAAATTGCTCTCTTAGGGGACAAACTTGATTAAAACAAATAGCGATTAGTCGATGCACACCATTTCTTTCTTGGAATGTCATCACTTTATCACTTTTATAGATTTTTAACTTCCAATTAAATGCACATTCTCAATTCCAAATGTGATGTTTTATTTACTTGGACCTACGTCGAACTGGGCTTCTCATTATTTTTCTTACAGAAAGGAGGAAGTGTAACACACATACAATGCCGTGATATTATAGCAATTGCCCATAGCAATTAGGTGGACGGAGTAAGTAAATAGATTAATATTAATATAAAAACCATTAGATTTTAACATTGTGACAACGCTATGTTTGTCATCCCGTTGTAAAAGAAATTATGGTCCCCCGGGGATTATGGTCCCCCTTCTTAACGGCCCTTACTGCCCCTGACTGTGTATGGATAATAAGGAAAATAATTGTAATTAGGTCACCATATAAATCAATAGAGAGTAGGACCAACATTTGATAGGACCACCTACCCTTTTCCACCGTGATTACCACGTTTATGTACCACGTGACATACAACAGCCAATAGAGTGGATTGCATATACGTTGAGGGCAAACAATATTGGAACATTTTCCAGGCATTGTAACTTTTTTGTTAGCAATGTATTATCTTCGATACTTTAGGAAATTAAAAAACAATTCATTGTCAACATCTTGTGTAAATTATAATCTTTGAGACGTACTATGTCAGTTTTGAAAAAAGCTGAGGTCAGTTAAGCTATATCATCCAGACATGCCTTGCTTCTCCTAGAGATAACTAAATATGTTTTAATTGATGGAAACTGTGTTGAGACCTTTTGAAGGGTATATGTTGTATGGTATGAATAGCAGTGGGAGTCTCTCAAGCAGAGAAAAGGTCCATGTGCAGTATGGCAAGTGATTTTAGACGGTCATATTTTTCACCATGGGTACTTTCTGGCCATCAATACAGTGGTTTTTATCAAAAGAATATGTTTTCTTTCTTGAAAGTGAAGTCCCCATCACGGTAGTAAAATATCAATCCAACTCTCTGAAAAATAATGGAAAAATAATGCCACCTTGGCACTTTTAAAAAAATGTTAGGCTAATTTTCTAAAAAGAGGATCTTTTCTCAATTTGAACATATGGAAAGTTTCTTCTACACTATATTAACAATTTCCGAAAGGGGAATGTGTATTGAAATGCAATTAAGTTAAAAACCACATATCCCATGTTATTTTCCCAAATGGAAAATTCGTGCTATCCATTGTTTTCAGCATAGTTTTGGTCATCGAAAATAATAATAAAAACCACTGTATTAATTATGCCCAGAAAGTACTCATGGTTAAAGATATGACTATCTAAAATCACTTGTCATACTGCACATGGACATTTGGACATTTTTCATGACACATGCAGTGCACTGTACAGAGCATGACCATGACAAGCCAAAAAATTATACTTACATATTTCTACTTTTAACAGTTTCATAAATAATCATTTTACCATTATCTGATTTTTCAATTTCAATTTATTTCATAATTCTTATATCAAATACACTATAAAACAAGCCGCTAGACACCCTAAAGGGTATATGTTGCGGTGAGGATTGAACTGCAATAGTAAATGCAATTGAATTAAGCATCGGCCCACTCTGTAGTGACGACAACCGTTACATAAATTGAACGCATTTAAATTGAATTGAACGCATTTGGCCATTTGGGTAGCCAGACATGAGAAGGGCGAGGCAAGTGTCTCACGAAACTTGTAAAGAAAACAATATTAGTTTTGTTTATTTTCAAGTTAAACTTCGCAAATTGGCGAACATCGCCATTTTTCTTGGAGCCATTTTGTTTTAATTTTAGACGAAATTCTGATGAAATCATGTCATATCTCATCAAGGAGCCGAGCGGGGTCCGTTTTGATTAATGATTTATTTATCAGGCGATTTTTAAAATATTCAATTTTATGACACGGCGGCCAGCTTTTTTCAAATAGAGTTCACAGTATTCCAGATGAAATCCCCTCTAGCCAAATATTGGCTAGAGACTCAGTAAAGAAAACCTACCCCTCGATACACCATTGTCTAATGAAAACCAAACAAAGCCCCGGATGTCGTGCCGTTTCTCGTTTCGTTTGGTACACAACTAAGCCCCGGGTATTAAAAAAGCCCTTGCTTTAACTAAAGATTTCTCGCTTATCTGAATTTGCCACTCTAATTTTCAGATGTTGGCTATTCTCTTGCTCGAGTTGTTTGATAAGAAAATGAGACAAAACTCTTCGCTACCAGAGTCTTCTTTATCAGACATCGTTACGACGATTCTTAAGTGTCTATTGGAAGATATAGTGAAAGCCGCATATCACGCGGACCAACGAACTTTAGGAAACATATTGCATTTACTTAATTTCTAGAATTCGACATCAAATGAAAAAAAGAATGTCGGCAATGATCTCAATGGGTTTCTTTTAAAACTGAACAATGCTCTACCTAATTGGCATCTTTCATTTCTTAGCATATTGAGATCCATGATCGGCTTGGTTTTGAACATGTTACTTGTAAAACTTTGTTATTTGAAACCTGGTTTAGAAGAATCACCCACGACCCACGTAGTACGCAAAAAGGTAGAACAAATGTTTTATCGCTTTGATTGAGTTATGTATCACTTATTGGAAGTTGAATTATTTATCAAATAGTGTATCACACTTCACTTCAGACGTTAACAATGTATTTTAAAGACAGAATACCGTATTTCATTCTACTGAACTTTTGGACTGGATAGTATACCATCACAAGTGATGATACTCCACGATTCACGAAAACGGAATAAGATATTTGTTTGGATAAAAAAAACATTTGTTTTATTATATCATGATCGAGTTAAGCGGTAAATATCTATGGATATTCACTGCTCTCGGGAATTCTCTCATTTTTAATGCACGCTATAAGGGAGTACTGTTTGATTTTCTATGTCATGTGACTCGAGTTTGACCAATTATAAATGGCGACTTTAAAAGTGATCAAATGAAACAGTTTACTTATTATTTGGGGCACCCTGTAGAAAGAGAATCATATTTTGAGTATTAATAAAAGGTACCATTTTGATTCCATCTACGTTAATGAATGGCACATTTGGAACTTTTTTATTTCCTTTTCAGTATTTATTCATTTCTTCTATTCTGTCATCTGAAACCTTTAATTTCTTCATTACTCGCATAACATTTGGTGCAAATGTCAGAGATATCAAAACTGTAATGAAGTGAAATGTACCAGACTGATGTTTTTACTAATTGTGTGGTTATAGGCGTTATTAAAAGTGGATACCATTCTATTTATATATTTCATTGAATAAAAGATAACAATCCCTATGGAAACAAAAAAATGTTCGGAACCTGTTTGAAGGTTATGATTTTGGTAATATAAGTGTATTTACTGTTGCGCTTGTTTATAAAATGTAACACCTTCTAGTGCGTTATTCTGTATTCCAATACATTTTATCATAGTTTATAAATCCATCGTCCATAACTATCTGATCTTATTTACTATTAAGCAGGGAAGAAATCTTACCTTTTAAAAGATCTTTCAATTTCTTCGAAGTAAGCTTTGAAGACAGTAGGTATCTCCAAGATAAGAGTAGAATGTGTCAATCGCTTCAGTCACACGATTCCGTAATCTTGTAGATCGTTTAATAATATTTATACTTGTGTTTTGATTGTAATTGTCCAGTTAAAGAGTATGATCGTAAATACTGTTTAGTTATACTTAGATTTAGAGTACTATTCTGAGATTAAATTTCAGTTAATCCTCTCTTGATTCTTGTCAATTTTTTTAACTCGAACTAAGTGCTTAAGACTTGAATTTACTTTTGATATCAGCAGTCGCCAGTCTCTCGTCTTTCAACAGTTTTCTGTCTCTACCCCCATGTGCCTCTAAGCGCAAAATAATTTCCTCCTGCTCCCTGTGAAGTCCCTATGCAGAGTAACATGTAAGGAGATATTGGAAGTCACGTGGCTTTTATATAAAGCTACTCCGCCTACAATATATGACTTCAATATCAAATTGCGTTATACTGTATAGGCATATTATGAACTTTCGAAGTGAATATTACTTTAGCACTTTGTGTTACTGTTTGCAAGAAAGATCTCAAAAAGGGGAGAAATGTTACAAGAAGCACGATGCGCACGCATATAAAATGCAAAATAGGTGCTATATTCAGCGAGGGTAAAACAAAACAAGACTTATAACACGATATTTGCGCATAGCAATTGGAAATTGTGTAATTACCTTCACAACTATAGTGTATTATTTGAAGCAACCTTTAAGCGTTCGAATTACTAGGCCTATTACGATACCAATAACTTACAGTACCAACTATTGAAATTATTAAGTAAAGTACTAAATACGCTCTTGAATGTTGACATTGCGCGAGATTTGAATATATTTGAGGAATTATATTTGATGATATTATTACAGGACACGAGTGTCTTCATGTCTACTACTTGATGATGCTGAGAGGGATTGATTATGGTGGTCAAATGAAGTGTTTGTTGATAAATTGAAGAATTAATGAATGCATTAGGCAGTGAAAAGATTATGAAAAAAACGTTTTCTCTTGGTTTAAGAGGATTTCGGTAGCCTCAATATCCATTCAATTTCCGTATACGTAGATGAGAATGGCCGATTTCATTATGTTTTTTGAACTTTACCGTTACTTGCGCATTTTACAGAAACGTCAGCATTCACTAACTTTGACTAATGAGGATATTTACTTTCTATTCATAGATTGAATTCACGGTGAGTAACCATAACGCACCGGTTCTGTGTCCGGCGCGTTACTAGTAACTTACTACTGCATTAGATGTCAAAAATAACACACATCCTTGCAAACATGGCAGAAAAATAATTTGAAACAAGGCACAGGACGTGAACGAGATCACACCATCAAATAGGCAGACACTATGAACCAGGAAAACTGTTCTCCTATTATGTTTACAAATTTCAAGAACAAGAAAACAAGATGGCCGCCCAAAAGTTCATCAGCTCTAGTACTTGATATCCTCTATCATTTGTGTAAATTTGAAGGAAATCCGATGAGCGGTTTTCCTGAAATGGCGATGACAAGATTTTTCGAAAAACCTTCAAAATGGCCACCAGAAAACAAGATGGCCGCCCAAAAGTTAATCAGCTCTAGTACTTGATATCCTCTATCATGAGTATAAATTTGAAGGAAATCCGATGAGCGGATTTTCTGAAATGGCGATGACAAGATTTTTCGAAAAATCTTCAAAATGGCTGCCAGAAAACAAGATGGCCGCCCAAAAGTTAATCAGCTCTAGTACTTGATATCCTCTATCATTTGTGTAAATTTGAAGGAAATCCAATGAGCGGTTTTCCTGAAATGGCGATGACAAGATTTTTCGAAAAACCTTCAAAATGGCCGCCAGAAAACAAGATGGCCACCCAAAAGTTAATCAGCTCTAGAACTTCATATGCTCTATCACCTCTGCGAATTTGGAGAAAATCTGATGAGCAGTTTTCCTTAAACGGCGATGACAAAAAGCGGGACGATCACGATCACGATCACGACCACGACCACGACCACGACCAGTATGACGACTATATCCCACCGATAGTTTGATAAAAAGCGAGGTGAGTGATCTAATATATTGTCCCATGTGAACACGATATATCGTAGTACTCTTGAAAAATCCAAAGAGGCTATAACGGGCTATAGGATATCAGTATAATGTTGACGAAGTGTAAACATAAAAAGTCGAAATTCGAAAATAGCGTGAAAGTCGATGAACATGTTATAGCTTCCTTTAATGAGATAAAGGATTGGCATCGATATGGTGAACTGAATTCTACACTGTTTTCCTCTTAAACCAATTATTGAAAACACTCTGTAAAAAACACTGGTCCTTTTTGTAATTGTGACTGATTGCCAACAATTTAATGCGAAAAAACTGTTTTTGTTAAAAAAAATTGTTTTTTAGTGCAATTGTTTTTTGTTCCTTTTTACCAATTCTTGAGAATGAAATAAAATATATTTCCGAAGCTTGTTGGAACAAAATAGCATATACAACATTTTCTTAGACCTCTCAATATTATAGTTATACATAGGAGATTTTGGTTGATTTAACAAAAAGTATCCATAAATTAAAACAAAAACCGCCAAAATAGATAAAAATTAAGCTAAACCTTTTATTTCATTAACAAGATACTTTTTTTAAATCAACCAGACTTTCCTTTGTACAATTACAACATTAACATGTTGTGTTTATGTCATTTTGTTCCAATGAGGTTCGGGTAGATGTTTCATTTCATTCCGAACATATGATACCAAGAACAAAAGAAGTGTCTGATGTGTTTTCTAAAACAATATAGAAAATGTATATATATTTATTTCGAATCATATTGTTACCATTCAAAAGATGACCATTGAATTGACGATGTGTAAAATGTTCAGAATTTTTTATGGCTGGTTTAAGTGAAACGTGTGTTCAAAATGTTCACCATATCGATACCCATCCTTTACAACTACTGATTTCTTTATTTTCTATTCCCTCACTATCTGTTCATTCAACATCACCGACTTTCAGTTTCAAGAAATGTGAGCACTTACCACATTTGTTAATTAGTAACGTGATCTCGCAAAGCGGCGTTGACGAAACACGAAATTGATGGTTGCAGTTACAAAGAAGGACTCGTTACATATGAATGTATACATATCGAGTTAACGTTAATAATCAAGACCATGTAAACTTTGATTGTCCTGGATGAATCCTCGAACAATGTGATTCGTATGAAGTAAATCTGATTGGCACCATTAAAACATTTCGTTTTAATATGAGAGATCGAGGACTATCACACCAAATTAGTTCTCACTACGTTCTCGAAAAACGGGCTTAAACTGTGTACGAACGGAGTTGACGTACTTACATGTAGAACCGTTTGGGGTCTATTTATTTTCATGAACATACTCGAACGGGTAGGTCCTCTAGAACTTAGAACATGATCAAAATTTTCCCGTGGTCGTCGTGGTCGCACCACGTCGGTGTGCAACGTCCTTAGTCTAGAAGGTCATCATGACCTGATTACAGAACGGTATGGTCGCCAACGAATTTTGAATCGATTCAAAATTCTAAGTCACATTCCCCGTCCGGGAAAGTTCATGAAATTCATAAACAGACCGTAGAACGTTGTAGGTACGTTCATTCCGTTCGCACACAGTTCAAAACCAGTTTTGAAGAACGCAGTGTCAACTTGCTTGGCGTGATAGCTATAGTTTTGCTAACTCGTTGATAAATACGTTCTTAATCAGTTTTAACCCGTTTGCAATTAGTTCTCCCTCGTTCTCAATACGTCCTCAGACAGTTCAACTCGTTGTTAAAACGTCCCTAGTAGGACTGAAGTACGACGGTTCCGTTCGTAGTACGTCCAGCTCGTCGTCCAGCTCGTCGTTAGTAGGTTGTCACTCGTTCTAATCGTAGAACGTGACGACCAAGAGAACATTTTGAGCATGTTCTAAGTTCTAGAGGACCTACCCGTTCGAGTACGTTCGATGAAGTTTGTAAAAAACGGTTCTAAGTACGTCCAGTCCGTTCGTACACAGTTGAAGCCTGTTTTCGAGAACGTAGTGAGAACTAGTTTGGTGTGATAGTAGGGTTACCAGAAATTATATTCATGGGCACTTTAAATTAATAAAAAGGCCTAGTTTATGAAGACATGTAGGCACATACATGTAAGAAGCAACTTGCGCAGCAACTGTACCAGGCTTGATGTTTTTGATGTGGTTAACAGCGCTGCATGAGTGCAGCATATATGTGACCACATGCCTCACAAAATTTAAACTGTATGAGCAACATCATGGATTTTGAGATGCTCAGTCGATCCTCGGATATCTCTAAGCTTTGAAAATCTTCCTTTTGGTACACTCCTGGCATTTCAAGGGGTTTTCTTTTTTCAAATTTGGGTCATGGTCTATCGTGATATTTGTTTTTGAAATACATGTATAGTGCATCATTTTGTATATTTTTATGTCGTTGCTAAGTTACACCTCGTTTGATACAAGGGTAAAAGTTTAGTGTAGCGACAAGAAGCTCCCAGAGTGCAAAATCGATATTCTGTCCCATGGGCCCGGATATGGGCATGTCGTGATACAAAATTCGAAGTCTTACAGCCGCCATTTTGTTCACTTCAACATTTGAATCGTGAATTTTGGTCTTATTTCCAAACGAAAAATTCCAAAACTCCCAAAAAATAATCAAGATATTGGTTCGAATTTTTTTAACTGTTTATTTTGAATTTATAGTCGGTTATAATTTCAGAAAATAACGACATTTTGACGTTTTTATTTTTGGAAAATATCGAGTTTCGATCCTGGGAGCCAATCCTCCTTGGTGGAGCGAGCATTTTATATTTTGTGATTATAAAACATGGTTAACGGTTTAGTGAAGAGGCAACATTTATTGATTTGGTACCTGATACAAGGGTGACAATTTCCTGGAGGGGTGCTTTCTTTTTTTGTTGCTTGATACAGGGGTAACAGTTTTACCTTTATTAGTAGATGCCATTTATATAATATTCGAAGCCCTATGAAATTCCACGACAACGAACATTGAGGTTATTAATTAAGACCTTGTCAGCATCAAATTGTAAATTGGTTTGTCCTCTCATGGGCTTTCAAGAGAAATCTCTTGGTCCTTTTCAGAGGGTAGGTCTAAAGGGCTCTAGTTCTCAGGCTATTTAGTTCTGACAAATTGCAAATAAATCGATTTTCACTGTTACCGAATTTTAGCGTTCCATGATTCGAAATTAAAATAGTGTCTTATTGTGGTCGCTTACTTTCGCAAATATATTAAGAAATGAATGAAGGAATCACAAATAGTCAGATTCTATTCAATCTGTGAATGGCTCTTGAATCTGTTGAAGGCCTCAAGAGACATGAAAATATAACCTTTTAGATGGAGATCTTAGTATGA